AACGGGAACGGGAGCCGAGGCTGTTGTCGGCCAGGTACAGCTCCCGCAGGGACACGTTCATCTTCAGAGCCGTGGCTGCGGAAAAACGGGAATCACCACCCGGAAAAACCGGGAAAACACCGGGAAAACACCGGGAAAACACCGGGAAAACACCGGGAAATAACGGGAACGGGAGCCAAGGCCGTTGTCGGCCAGGTACAGCTCCCGCAGGGACATGTTCATCTTCAGAGCCGTGGCTGCGGAAAATCGGGAATCAACACCCGGAAAACACCGGGAATACACCGGGAAAACACTGGGAAAACACCGGGAATGCACCGGGAAAACACTGGGAATACACCGGGAAAACACCGGGAATACACTGGGAATACACCGGGAATACACCGGGAATACACCGGGAAAACACCGGGAATACACCAGGAATACACCGGGAAAACACCGGGAATACACAGGGAAAACACCGGGAATGGGAACGGGAAAACCGGAAATGGGATCAAAAAAACCGGGAATGGGAATGGGAACCTGGAAACACCGGGAATGGGAAAAACCGGGAATGGGAATGGGAAAAACCGGGAATGGGAACAGAAAAAAACCAGGAATGGGAATGGGAATAACCGGGAATGGGAACGGGAAAAACCGGGAATGGGAACAGAAAGAAACCAGGAATGGGAACGGGAAATAACGGGAATGGGAACCTGAAAACACCGGGAATGGGAACGGGAAAAACCAGGAATGGGAACGGGAAACACCGGGAATGGGAACGGGAAATAACGGGAATGGGAACCTGGAAACACCGGGAATGGGAACAGAAAAAAACAGGAATGGGAACGGGAAGCACCGGGAATGGGAACAGAAAAAACCGGGAATGGGAACGGGAAATAACTGGGAATGAGGCCGGGATTGTCACCAGCAACAGCAGGAAAATGGATGGGAAAATGGGAAAAATGGAAAATTGATGGAAAATGGGGAAAATGCATGGAAAAATGGGGAAAATTCATGGAAAAATGGGAAAATGGATGGAAAAATGGGAAAAAATGAATGGAAAAATGGATGGGAAGTGGATGGAAAAATGGGAAAAATGGATGGAAAAATGGGAAAAATGGATGGAGAAATGGGGAATATTCCCAGCAGACCCTCCCCGCTCCCATCCCAAACCCCTTTAACCCCTTCCTGCCCGCCTCCCGGAATTCCCGGGATTCCCGGGGCGCCGGGATTTTGGGAATCTGACCGAGCAGCATGAGCGGCCTGCCAGACAGGGCGGTGTTCTCCAGGTGCAGCACGGCCAGGCTGCTGCTGATGCGCAGCGCCCGCGCCACCAACGGCGCCGACGGCTCCAGCAGCGGCGTGTTCCGCGCGTCCAGGGACTGCAGGCAGCTGGTCTGGGGGAAAAACGGGATTTGGGATTTGGGATTTGGGATTTGGGATTGGGATTTGGGATTTGGGATGGGGATTCAAAGGGATTCCATCCCCACAGGGACTGCAGGCAGCTGGTCTGGGGAAAAACGGGATTTGGGATTTGGGATTTGGGATTTG